AACTTAAAAGTCACCCAATCAACATTGATAATAAGCAACATTATGTATTTCTATGGAATATGTATAAAATAGTATGTTTAAATATAGAATTCTATTTGATGCCGATAGTTGATAAGGATATTATTCAGTTTTAAATACTCAAAGAGAACAATTGACAAATTTGATAATAAGCAAATACTTGTACACCAAAATGTTTCATGAAATAAAAAAACCAAATAAACAATCAAAAATTAAACTCAGTACACCAAATTAATTTTATTAAACACCAATAATGTACTTATGTACCTAATTGTTTTCATTTATTATTATTATTTCAAAACTTGTATTATATTTGCATTAATTAGATTATTATCTGTTACCTACGTTTAGTGGTATTATTTTTTGTCTCACTACTCTCACTTCACTCTTATATCAATAAAAATTGTACCTGGGAAATACAATGATTATTTTTTTTATTAGTTTTACTTTGAATTCAATCTAATTTTATTCTTTGAGCTGAGCGATGAAGTTATTGATTTTAAAACGACTTGTAATTTGTCTGTGTTGTCTGTGTACATGATGTAAGTAGTCCGAATAATGCTTCAATTTTCAACTTCAGTATCTTTTCCGGTCGAAAAATGAATCTATTTTGTGCATTCGGGAGGTCAACATTTAAACTTCTCGGTAGTTTTCAAAAGCGCCTTTAAAAACAAAAAAAATAAATTGAGGAAAAACGAGAATTTTAAAGCTAAATCGATTTTGATTTTCTTAAAAAAATTGCCGTAGGTATATGAAAATAATTACGGAATGTTTATATTAGTATTTTCTGTACATCATAAAATATTCAAAATATTTCGATTCATGTTAAAACTATTAAAATTAAATATTTGTTTTTTATTCATTTTTTTTATTTTTAAGTCGATGAATATTTTTAAGCTCGGTCAAAAAACTTGAAAATTAACTACATGGTTAAAAATAAAATTACAAAATTCTTAAAAATTCGTAAAAATCACTACAATTTGGAAATTATTTTGAGTTAGAAATTCATAAACAGGTTTCTTTTTATGTCTAAGATTTGATAATTTATACAAGTTTCCTCATAAGTTTGTCTACCTTTAGCAAAAAACAAAATGAGTACCAGAAAATCAAATTAAATGTTTATGAGTATTTGAAGTTCAAATTTTTACAAATATTTTTTAAGGGAGAAAACTCATTTAAATGTGATTATATGGTAAACTTTAATTACTTGCATGATGTAGGTATATATAAGTAGGTAATGAAGGTCATGCCAGTACGAAAAATACTAAAATAGATTGTACTTATGATGTTAAGGTAAATCATTTTTTCTTTTGATAGGTATTATGAAGTAGGTTAGGAGTAAAGGTTTAAGCCGCATACTTGTTAAATATTTAAGCACTTTTTCTGTATTTTAAATACATTTTAAATACTTTTAGACAGAGTTATTTCAAGTATATTTCAAATACTTATTATTAGATTTTGTATTTAAAAATATTAAATACAACATTTTCAAACAAGATATTTACTATTTAGTTTGGTTTATCGGTTATGAAGAAATTGCTTATCATCGACGAAAATACATGACGATTATAAATATTGTTATCGATAGAGATATTACGGGAAAAATAATATTTCCCGTATATCGTATACCTATTAGTTTATTTATAGTTCATAGTATCATAGCACGGCGATACCCCGAATCCTAGTATCCCACATACACACACACACTCCATCACTCATTATTTGTTAATATTTTAATAAAGTTATTTTAATAAAGTTATTTTATTATGTATTGACTTTTGACGTTAGTCTCTACTCTCTAGTCACTAGTCAGTCACTACTCAGTACTCACTAGTCACTACTCACCAAGTATTGTTGTAATTTTATTGTCATGTGCCGTGAGTCCTGACTAGAATTGTTTTAACGAATTCTTCCGTGGAATATTTATAATATTCATTATAAAGTTATTAAAATAATAAATATAATAGATGATGAAAATATTTAAAATACTAATTAACATGGTGATGAAACATCTTCATTTTTTTCTTGATCCAAAATTCGTTCAAATTCCAACATTTCCATTGAAAATGAATTCTCAAGTTTTTTGAATAAGAGCCCTACGAAGAATTTATTGGTTTTAGAAGACACACCCAACATTAAAAAAGTTTTTATAGAACACAACACTCCGTTACCAAGCAGTGCTTAGAAAGAATTTTTAGTGTAAGCAACGCAATACTCACAAAATAGAGCCCGAATAACTGATGACCATTTTGAAAAGGTAATGTTTCTTAAATGTAATTAATTTTAAAGTAGTATTACTGTATAAGTTATAAATCATCACATAAATTAAACATAATTACATTTACAGTTTTTTATAAATAAAGGAATTCTGTACGAACTTACAATCTATATTAATTATTAGTCTTCTATATTAAATACACATTATTATATTAAACAAATAATTAGTTTTAAGAATTAAGAATCAGAAAATAATAAAGCTTAAAAAAATGTATTAAAAAATATTTTAAATACATTTTGAATATATTTGTATTTGAATTTTAATATTTATAACAAAGGTATTTAAATACCCATTTGAAATACTTTTGAAAAGTATTTTTAACAACATTGGTTGTTACCTTTCTTTTTTAAGTATTTATAATACTGCTCAAATAGTTCACTGTAAAGTAGGTATTCAGAATACTTATCAAATACTTTTGGTTATATTTTGTAGGTTTGTAATTAATATAACATAGTGTACCTGTAATATTTATATTTAATAGCTTTTTTATTAAAAAAAATTATTCAAAATAGTTCTTTTTTGTCATATTCGCCCCACCCACCCAGCCACACTAAATACTCACTGAATAATATTCTAAACAAAATAAAATATTTAAATTAAAACAAAAAATTATTTAAAATATCAAAGTAAATACTTCATACCTGCTGAAAACATAAAAAATTATTCAATACAAAAAAAAAGTATTTGAATACTTTTTTTTAAAGGATTGACAACACTGATTATCATAGATATTCTTCAAGAATGAAACAACAGACCAAGCTAGCTATACGCCATGCCCAACTGGCAAAACAAAATTCCATTATAATTTACATGGTTTAACTGCTAATACATTGACATAAAAATATATCCGTGATAGATATATCATGCAGCAAAGGTTGTTCAATGGTTAAGCCAATAAAGAAGTTTTTACTAATGATGACTGGTTGCCAATAGTTTTAAAACCGTAGGATACACAAAATATAGATTTTAAAACCTTATTTGATTAAGTTGGCTATGGGCTGTACAGCAAACTGTAGGACTAAGTCCAGAACCTCCCGTCGAAGATGATGGCTATATTTTGATTTTAGAATATGTTATTCATTCTTAAGAGTTGAGTACTTCTCAAAAATTGTAGGCTTATATTGTCAAAACTATGTAAATTATCTGTTGAAAATATAAAAGAGATGTCATCAAAAACTATTGGACAAACTGAAAATATTAAGTTGTGTCTGTACCATCAATTTGTAACTTCAGGTTAACTTCTAGTGACTTCCATAAAATAATTCAAGCAACAAAATTAAATTATTATCCTAACTCATTATTTGAAATACTGGGAAGTATGTGGTAGGAGTTCAAAGTATTGAATAATGAATGGGGAAAAAGGCATGCAATTACTGCAATACAAGAATTTGGAAATACATACAAATATAATGTAATGAAAACAGGGATTTGGTTACACGAATCTGGATTTTTAGGAGATAGTTCAGGTGTTATTTAAAAATGATATTATGTATTGTATTGATGTTTGTCCCTACAAATTTAAAAATGAAAATTTAAATTCTGCTATTTCTAACACTAAGGACTACCAAGTAACTATATAATTACATCTGAATATCTGATTCAACTAAAAATGATTTTGTTCTTAATTCTGATCATTAAATACAAGGTCAAATGTACATGACAAATGTCTTATATGAACTTTGAAATCACCAGTAGTTTTTAAAATTGATATACATCCCAATTGGCTTGTAAATATAGAAATGCTTTTACATTTTTATCATGATATAATATACATTCCTTTATATACACAAACAATTAGTGACATCATCTCACATCTAACATCATTAAGCCAGGCTTAACATTAATTAGGTAAATAAACATACTATGTACATTGTGTTTTAAAAATATTGAGGTATAATAGTGTGTTGTTACAAACATTTATAAAATCAGCTGTCAGTTAGAATTTTAATTCAGTCATTAATTAAAGTAAAATGTACTAATGAACTTTAAAAAAATAATTAAAATCCTCGATTATAAGAAATTGAGACACTTAGTATATTTACTACTTATATTTAAATTTAACCTAATGCTTATAAATTATTTTGAATGTAATTAAAAACTGCTTGTAGGTAAACACAAAAACATAAAACTATTTAAGATTTAACATAAACTCTGATTATGAGCAAATAATGATGATATATTTTTTAATTATTTAACTTGATTTGAATTCAATTAATTAAATCTGGACCACAAATATATAGTTTACAGTCGTTTTATAAGGTTATAATCAACAATAAATTGAGTACATATTATATTTCATGATCAATACAAAATTATTTTATCTGTCAAGTCAACCTCTGATTTTCAATTTATAAAAGTTATTTGTAAATAAGATTAAATCAGAAGTAAATTTATGACTATTTTTTATATTTACATATTTTAAACAACACAAAACTCTTAGACTAAAAAAGGAAAGAATAAAAGTATTTACTATAATATAGTAGTTATGTATTGTATTATGAAATATTACATTAATGAGATCTTTGTGATGAGTTTAGATTTTTTGCCAAAATTTCTTGAAAATTTTAATTTGAAAAAAAAAATGGAAATAATATACTAGGTTTAATAACCTTGTAAAAATTATTAATTTTGTATAGTTTTTTATTTGTGAAAAAAAAAATATCTATTGAACAGAATATATATGTTTTGTACAGAAATTTAAATATGCAACAATACTAATAAATATTTTTATTTATATTTTGAGTTTAAATAAATTATTGTTAATAAAGTGATACAATTTGCGACACTGAAAAGTTTTGTTATGTTAATCAGTATGATGATTACAAAAACACTCAAATTACTTATTAAATAAAAAATATTTCCTATAACATCACAGTTTTGAAGAATAAAATAGCACGTACAATGTCAAAAGAGATTTCATAAACGATGGAACTTAAATTACACATCCAGAAGTTGTAAACATTATTTTTGTAGATAATCTATTGGCAGCAAGGGGTTTATCTTTTATGACATCATTAAGTGCTCAAATAGTAATATATATATTATGACTGCATGGTGCCACCCAAAGTGGCTTGAGTTTTTTTAATGCATAATGCTGTAAGACAAACACATGCAGTATGGTACCAACATTCTTACATTGATTTGATCACTGTTTGCAAACACTAAAATAAAATAAGAGAACAAACAACAAATTTTAATAAAGAAATTTTTTTAATTGTTTGTATTACCAGGTATGCATTCCATCTCTCTGGTGTAGGTGGTAATTTCATTTCTAAACAAACAACTTTGCCCATTTAACCAATCAGTGCATCAAGTGGTACGCTATTATAATAGGGTAATTGATATTCTTTGTGTATTTTATCAACAGAACACCTCCGAGTTACTTTCTATAGTATTACACCCAAAGCATAAATATAACATATCTTAAACGAAACAAAATGATTCATGTTGATTGTTTCTTCCAAAACCTATACATAAAAAAATATAGGTAACATTAAAACATTAAAATTATAAATAGTGTAAGTTAAATTTCTTAAAAATATTAACTCTGGATCTATGTATTGTTCAGTGACTACCTGTGGTATGTGGTATATCAACTGCATCCATAGAAGTATCATATTGTACAGCAAGTCCTAAATCTCCAATAGCGCAAGTACTATTGAAATTGACTAAAATATTTTTCAATTTGAGATCTTGATATGCAATGGCTGCCGGCTGGTTTACCTATCATACATAAGAATAAGTAATTGATATTTTAATCAAATTTTATAATTGCATATTATAAGTTTTTGAATGTTCATTTAAAAAAACTACCGTAACATTTCCATAGATTATTGGTTAGGTACCTTTAATGATCTTGCAAAATTGTTATGATCTTTGATCTGAGAAATGTCTAGACTTATACGTCTTAGACAGAGGTATAGGAATTATTCCTTTTGTATCTATTGTATTTACACAGAAAATCAAATAATGATCTATTTTCATGGTAATTAGTTACTAGTCATAGTAATAGTATATTAGTAATAGTATATTTGAGTTTAAGTGCCATTATCTAAAAATATTAAAAGTTACAATAAAAACAAATGTTATAATTAGGATGATAAGTATTTTACCTCTATTATTATCAACAAAAAATCCTAAAATATTATCATGTCTCAGCATAACTGTTCGGAATATCTCAGTTTCTCTAAATGAAAATATTTTCACAGCTACTTGTTCTCCTTGCTAAAGGTACTTCTTCAAAACGACCTTTGCCAAAAAGTACACCAAGTTGGATTTAAAGAGGAATGCTTCCTTGAACCAAACGTGGAGATCCTATAAAATTGCATATAAATTGAGCAATTTAAAATACATGAAATGATTATTTTGTGAATATAAACCTGATCCTGATCCACTAGTAGTCATTGCAATCATGTCACTCTCTTGAGTCTAACGGTCGTTGTTAAAATAGGTTGCTGATTAGCAGTTATGATTTGAGTAGTTCGTAGAATGTAGATTTCTAATGTTGATATTATCCAACTACATGTAGTTCATGCTAAAAACAGTTAAAACCCAGGTGACTGCTGTGAGCCTTATTCTGCGGTATTCATTTGTATATTTTTCATATATCATTTGTGATAATATCGTTTCTTGTATGATAACTGAAAATGATAAGCTGATAAAGAATTATAAAAATAATGTGGAGGTCTCGTGCTTTCGAGAATTAGCATGGTTACATAATGAATTACTGAGATACGTGGAACTTTGTTTTGAATTTTCAATTCTTAGCTATGAAAGCGTTCAAACCATTGACCTATTATAATAGGTCAATGGTTCAAACGTATTAAACATTTTTAAACACTACTACATTGTAATTTGTAAATTTTCAATTTAATATTTTTGTCAACATTTGAACTTTAAACGCTTATAAAAATATAATGATGTATTTTTAATATTTTTAACTACTATTTTAACAATATGACAATCGTATTTATTCAATTTTAAAGCTTTCTGAACCAACGAATAACAGATTTATACTTTTATACCAAAAATTTTAAATTTTAAATTAAAATTAAAAATCTTCATAAACAGCTCAAAACGAGACAAAATCATTTGACAATTTTATCAAGTATAGATAATTATAAAATAAACATAGATATAGTGGACATTTCAAGTACCTACAATTGTTCGTTTTTTAATTACAATAAAATAAGAAAATCACTTCTCACCCTTGAGAAATCAAGTGAAAACCTATCCAATGTTGTAAACATTTTAGCCTCAAACGCTCATAAATATTTAATTTGACCTTCGGGTAGATATTTTTTTTGATAAAAGTAAACAAACTTATGAGGGTATTCAATTTTTAATTATTAGATATAAAAAGAATAATTTCCATGAATTTCCACCTTAAAATAGGTAATTTGTAATGTTTCGTGATTTTTACAAATTTTGGTCAAAATTTAAACTAAAAAACTTTTTTAAATACAAACCATTTCGGGGGGCATTTGTTGTCTCCGTCTTACAAGCGAGTAACATGGCAAATCTACTCTCAGCAGAGCTTCGTTAGTTTAAAAATTAGAGTGAATCGACGTATTATGAAACTTGACTGTAAGAACATTATCTCTGTTTGGTGGAGGATATTTTCAATGGTTCAATTTTTCAGCGAGTTATGCGTATTTAATATAATGTACTTTCAAAATGCTCATAATTTACTTAATAACTGAATCATCGTAAAAATCCCACCTACAAACAGATAATGTTCTTACCAACAAGTTTCATAATAGGTTAATTGATTAATTCACTCTAATTTGTAAACTAACTAACTAACTGAGCTAAACGTGATCAGCTGAGCGTAAATTTAGTATGTTACGCACTCGTAAGACGGAAACAACAAAGTACAGCAATGTAGCGTCCTCCCAATGACTACATCCAACTATGAAAAGACCCAAAAGAGTGATGATTAACACAAAATGATAGATATTAGGAATTAAGTTATTGAGTTGAATTTTAATCAAGAATAACAAAGTATGGGGGGGGGGGGAGTCAGTGAATCACAGTTCACGTTATCAATGTGGCACCACAGATATATATATATATACCCATATATAGGTATAACTATTTTCAATTTTGACGAGTAAACAAAAACTATTATAATATAATCGTTTGGCTTGCTAGACATACGTCTGCCGAACTAGTCTTGTTTCACCACTTTCTCCCATGTATTGTTGCTGCCAGGTCATCGGTAAAGTAAAATAATTTATATAACATTTTATTTTATTTTAAATATACGTTAAAGTGTAAAGCTTTACTCAGTATATATAAATGTCTTGTCGAATAATTCTCTCACATTTTCCCATTTGGTACAAATCTATCACTACAGATACACAATTACACACCGTGTACCAGCAGTGATAGTCAACAGTTTAATTGTTACCACGTAACACCATTCTACTGATTGTTTACTTAAATAGGAACATATTTACAACACTGATTAAGTGACACGAAGAACGACTTCACGAGTCATGATGTAAAAATAAAATAAATCAATTTTCATCTGTTTAATAATTATATTATTGTTAGGTACTAGTGTACTACAAATCACGATATTATTGTCAAAATCGTCAATCGGAAGATTGTTCGAGTGTTAGATCGTGTTAGATTCGGAGACGACCACATAATGTGCACAAAACTGACATTCGTTCTACCGTTTACAAATTTACACAAGCTGTGGGAAAAATTTACTAACTACTCTTAATGTGATGGATCTTCAAGTAGGTACACCTAACTCCATTAGCATACATTATAAGTACCTATTTCATACATATGTATATTTTTTTTATTAGGAGGGACTCCCGCGAACATTGGCCATTAGATGTGAGATGGTATGATATGGAATTTTTTGTATAGGTTTAGTAGGTTTTTATGTAGGTAGGATTGTACCACGTGTTTGTGTATGTGTGGTAAGAATGTGTTGTTAAAAACCCTGTTGGTCACCCATCCAGGAGCCGGCAAAGTCGGCCGGTACGTACACTCAGAGCTTTTCCGCAGATTGAGTGTACGACCGCTCCTCACCTGGTCACCATATATTTTTACCACAAATATAAACCTGTCGTGAGAATTCGACTTTCTGTTTCACTCGTATATAATATTATAAGCTATAATGTCATAGTTATGCAAGTTTGACGTACAGTTTTTACCTATACTATTATTTAATCAATACTATTTCAAGGCTTTTAATACCCTATAATGACATTCCGAATAAATTAATTAATTAACTTAAAACGGACGAAACGGTGAACGGAAGCTTAAAATACGATATAAGTACCTACCTGTGTTGCGTAGGTACATACTAGGTAGGTCGTAGGGAGGTACCTATATATGTATCTCACTTAATGTATTAAAAATAACCTACTGATTATTATTAGGTCTCGTGCAAAGAGTTAATTTAGATTATTTCTACACGTCATAATTTACGCAGAACATACGTAAGTGCTATATATTGTTAAATATTGTATAACCAACCATATTATAACGCCCTGCCACGACAGAGGTGGTTGCCGGTGGTCCCAAGGGGACGTCAGCTGACTGACGGTTTAATACTGAATTTCATTGTAAGACTTTTTGAACAAATATATGCATAATGTTAATCAATTAAACATTTTTCACAGACTTCTCTCGAATATTTGGTACACATTAGGTATTATAGTGTTTCACTTCTGAACGATTATTTTGTAATAATTATTACAAAAAAAAGATGGACAAGTGGCCAGTGGGTACCGCTGTGCCGTACAACAGTAATTGTCGAGTATGTCACTGTAATGGATGTTTTACATTTTAATTCAATGATGAATCGTTGTATACGAAAACGATTCTGAGCGGAGACTGTGCGTTATCCCAGTATACATGTATAAATAATCAAATTTAAAAATTAAAAACTGCTGAATATCAAATATCGTAAACAATTTAGAATCTAACGATCATACAAAATTAATGATGCTGTTCGCTGAACTTTTTTTTGATAAAGGCAGATTTTGAAAATGTTCTCATATATGAAAAGTGCTAATATAAATTTTCGGCGAACATTTCAAGTGTCTACTCTACGGTCATTAGTGTACCGTAATACAATAAAATAAAATGTATGTAAAAATTCCCTTTTTTTTGTTTTTCTCGACGCTTCCGAAAACTACTGGGAATTTTCAATTCTAACCTCCCGAATGCACCAACAAGTTTCACTTTTCAAACAGAAACAATGCTGATGTCGAAAATAGGAGCATTTTTGCTAGGGAGGTACCCCAAAAATTTCTATGACTGCCAGAAAAAAGAAATACACATTATTTTACACGTAATACATTAATTTTCTTCACTCAGAATCTAAAATAGGTATGTATCACAATAATACCTCTTACTATGCTGTTTGCTTTAAACATTTTGGATATTGAATTTTCTTTCGGTGGCTGACATTTAGAGAAATAATTTTGATTATACCTCTCTTTATAGCTATTGGGAGGGATCTTATAATTTTAGATTCGGAGGGGAGTGATTTATTGTTTTCACGACGATGTGTATTTATGTAGACATCTTTCGGATCAGTAAAAGGTAAAAAGTGAAAATACTTCATTTTAGACTTTGAAGAAGGTTCCTGGCAAAATTTGGACATACGTAGTTACTAGTTAGTACTATTGGAGGGGGGTTGATTATCTAAAAAGAAAATAGCGTTTTTACTTAAACCCAGTTTTTGACAAAATCGACTTTGTTTTTGTCGCAATTCAAATTATTTCCGAAGTATTCAAGAAGAACGAGATAAAAATGTAATATAAATATTGTAAGTAAATATTATTAGTCCTGTGATATGGTGATTTGAAAAAAAAAAATGTTTATATGTTTGAAGTGATATCGTTGAAAATCCTCCTAGCTATTGCAACTTAAATAATGATTTCTTCACTGTAAAAATGAATTTGGCCTTCACTGAACATGTTGGTAAGTACTAATAGGTGATAACTATATGTCTACTCGTATATAGTACCGTTTTTTATAGGTACGAATCGCACTCGTGTCTTGAAACTCGCCGTTTGCCGATGAAAATATGCTTTCGGCGAATGAAATAATAATATATTGCAGTATCATGCATATTTTCTTTTACTCTTTTTTTTTATTGGTCTTCCGAAATAGCTCAATTTAGATAATTCGATTTTTATCTGTCAGCAGTGTGTAGATGAGCCTTACGGCTTACTTAGTAAGTGCATGTTTAAATGTTTTTAATTCTTCTCCAATATTTTTTATTACATTCATACGAAATACTATTTAAATGAACAAACGCGTAAGTTAAATACCTCATTCCGTGGCGTTATATTTCCACATGGATAGACCATTTCTAAAGAAAATTACATTTATTATTTAATATATACTTCAGAGCACGTTTAGTATTAACATTTTTTTTTATTTTATAGTTGGTATTGATAAGGGACTATGCGAACCGCATGTTATTAAAGACTATATAATATACTTATACTCTATACATCCATAATCTATATTATATATATATACTGTCCATCTGTACTATTATAGTATTTTCCTTGGGTCAAATACTCGAATATACAGTTTTATGTCTGAAATAGGTACACATCCCTTAAATTACTCAAAAATGAATTATTGGTAGTCGGATAAAGTTTTGAATGCCTTTAAAAGGTAGGTATTTACGTATTTTTTTACACTTTAATAGTAAAAAAAATCGTACATGCCTCCGCGATGCAGGGTCATCTCAGATCATGATCTGTTTTTCACCCAAGCCATAAATAATATAGGTAGTATGTATGCAATAAGTATTATATTCAATTTGCTCCCCCCTCAACAAATGGATGGATAGATACCACTGCTTCAATAATAAATACTCATTGAAGGGTTTTTTATCCTCATTCGTATTATTCTATCAGCAATGCAAGAGCCACAATACAATTATTTAAGGAGGAGTTTCGAATTGCAGTGTACCACTCCACCCCGAGAAAATTCTTACTTTCTATAATTGTTTTAAAATTTTATTTAAAATGTCCTTTTGAATTTAATGCAAACTATCAAAAACTACACTCATGACGGATGCGGGCCACGGGCGAGTTATAATCATTTATCACATCAAAATCCGTTCTGGGATAGATATAAACTCCACTATTCCTAAGTAATCGCACATAGGTTCACACAATAATATATTGATGTTCACTGTATACATAATTACTATGTAAGTACATTCATATTACTATGATGCATAATGTATCTTTTATGAATAAAGTTAAAAGAAACACTGTAACGGTATAGCCGATATAGTTAGTTATAATATATTTTAAAAATTACTTATAAATGAAGTAATTGTAGATGATTACAAGTTAAAAGTTATGAATGAAATTTGGATTATCTTTTAGGTAGGCTCCTAGAGCTTGTCAATATCACCATTCTCGTGCCCGATGGTTAGAGAGGGGAGGGGGTGCAGAATACCATGGCAGAAGCCAATTTGATTTTAAATCTCGTGTATTTGCAGTTTTTTACATTTGTTGTGCTCCGATGGGAGTTGAGAGGGGAATGTTTGCTCCAATGCCCAGAGGGTCCTTAATCCGGGCTTGATTTTTCTCTACCTTATTTGTGGTCCTGCATGCATGTAGGTAAAATGCTATAATACGTACATACCTATGTATAATGTGTATTAAATTTGTCTTTACCGGTGTGATGGTATAGACAAAAATATAAAATGGAAAACATATTTTACAAGTCTGGGCGGGCTGTAAAACTCGTTATAATAATATGCTAACGTATTTTAACGATCGTCCGTTTAATGTGCCGCAACGACTCGGGTTATCATATTATAATATATATTATAGTATTAAAATATTATTACTTCTTCTATACTATTCACTACTTAGGTATTAATTATCGTGGTATGCGATATATAGGTGCACATCGACATCGTGTACGACAGTAATTATATAACGCGTATCGATACGAATTATCGCGTCCGACGCAGTATTTATTCATTTTTTAAAAACCGATCTCACCATCCATCATACGTCCCCGTTTTTATTATTTAATAACAACGTGCGTATAATATCATATTTATAATAATACATAAATATATAGCCGTTTCGGCGGCGGCGGCGCCACACGAAATAATATATTGTATTGATGCCTATACATACACGCTATCGTGTATACCTCCTATAACTATATAATATACTTATACATGGATTATTAATATTTCAATAAACGTCGATTCGAGACACTTCGTATATCACTACTATACTATGGTTTATATTATTATATTTAATATACTTTAATACAATGCAATTTCAGTGTATTATAAAGGTAAGTTATACATATATACTAATGTCTACCTATATATATATATATATACATAAAATATCCTGCGCTGGTATAGATATCATACATATATTATTAAAATATCTATGTAGGTATATAATGAACGGTGTATAATATTGTACACATATAAAGTATACCGGCTATACAAAGATTGTATAGGTACACGCACGTTGGTAGTCGTTGGCAGTCCAAGGTCAGTACAAACGACCGTTTATAATACACATCGATATTCAATAACAATAATAATAATAATTATACGCGACTTACCATTACCTATATACAGGTAGTTTGCTGCCGCGTTTGTAAATTTCGTACTGGCCCGCCGTTAAAATATATAATATACAACAATAATAATTATAATTATGCATAATATAACATTATATTTTTTTGTATCTACCTACCTACGCCGTTCGACCGTAGTGTGACTATTGATAGTCGTGATGTGAATTCGTATATATAATACTAATATCGTGTTGTACACGCTGTTTAGAATTATTTTATACAACAGTGTGAAATGTGTATTAAACATTAAAAAAAAATTGTTATTTATTGCTTCATTTGGTATGCTCATTGTCCGCTGTTGATGCTTACTACCTTTGATTTAATTTTTTAACTTTATCCAATTTCCATTAATTAGATTCAATTTTCAAAGGGAGATAATGGTTAAATAATCAATGATCTAAGTTTTGTAAGTAATTTCAAATTTTTATATCTTTAAATAAAGGATTTTGATTTTTACACCGTATAAGTTGTGATGTATAATATAATATATAGTAATATTGTACACATAAAAAATAAAATATCATATTTTTACATCAGGCACTGAGGCAATTGATATAATACATTTTGATATATAATATTAGATCGCATCATGATTATAATATTCATAATATGATGTACCTGTGAATTTTGTAAATGTTTTGTGCTCAGTCAAAACATACACATGATATCAGTTCAGCTACGGGTATAGGATTATTGTTTATAGTTTGATAATTATTAATTCGTATGTAGTTTAAGTAGTGCTAATAGTATTAAAACGACAAAGGCGCAAGTGGTCGAATCAATTACATTTATTTAGCAACTTACAATTCCTACTGAAAACGATACTCAATAAGAGATGGTACTACCCATATATTAACACCTATTCAATTTAATATTGTATTAAATTATAATATAGTAAACTTAATCTTGCGAAGTAAACAGTTACACGACGACAGGGGATCACCAATCACCCTATCAATCAAAACTGATAACAATCAATTACAAAACTTCCACAACACTGTACCGTTAATATTAAACTCTAAAATTTGCAAAGAAAACCTCCAAACCCAGCAGATTAAAACCACCACTACCTCGAGATACCTTCCAAAAAGACCAAGAAGAACAAAAAAACTACTAATAGAGAAAATAATTCTCTAAGTATTTTTTTTAATGCTCTATATTAAAATATTGATTTGAATATTCATTTGTACAATAGTCGACAGAGTTCGTAACCTAATATACTCATGGGTCAGATTCGTGGTATTTCTATAATCATCGTACTTACTATCCCACTTGCTACACAAATAACTAATAAGTAATAACTATACAACTATAACAAGTTATGTACATTGTAGCACATAGAAAATGTACTATGTTTAGTACAGTCACTCATTTTTAAATAATCAAATTGTACACACAAGTTTTAATTTTTAATAGATAAATGTATTATTTATAAAACAGAAACCAGAGGTACCAGTTAACCAGTTCCATCAGGCAGTTCAGTACAATACAAAACATTTAAATTAATAACTTTAGCTAGTCGTCAGTATTGTTTTATATTAAAATTCATTGCAAGCTGTTAATAATGAAAATGATTATTAGTAGTACTACATTATTAGATGTATATTTTTTTTTAGTGTGCGTGGGGTTAAATGTATAAGTTATAATATAGTGTATTATTGTAAAATATAAACCATTTTAAATATTTATACGAATCAAGAATATTAAAGAAACAATCACTAACAACAAATGTTGTTAAAATAGAGAATTATTAATATACATAATATACATTATACATATTTATCTTTATTTATGTTTAGTAATGTTATAAATACCAATAATAATATGAAAAATGTTCATTTTCATATAGCTGTTCTATAAATAAAAATTTTAATTTTATATATTTTAAATTAAATGTTGAGTTAGCAGGCAAAAAAAACTATTTTAATTATACTCCAACCTCAGTTGTCTAAAATTGCATTCAATCATTGTAGATACATCATACTCTAATTTCATCTAATTAATTACTACTCACTTGTTTCCTACCAATGTGTACCTCACCAATGGTGGTGGTGTACCTAAATTGCCTATCCATAACGCCGTGTGATCATAATTTTATGGCTGGAATACCTAGGTATATTAAAAAAAAATAAAACACAGTAAGTACGTCTAATGGAAAAAAAATTGGTCCCAACCATGGTTGTGAATTATGTACATTATAATATTTTATATCTATCTTATTTGATTATAAACCTTATACATACATAGTTACCATTATAGAGTAGTTAAGTCGATTTTGGATAACTGTGTATACTAATGTAATAAATATTCACGATTTGTCTGTGTAATTCTCTGTAACAATACTTTTCGCATTCGAATGTTTGTTTCATTTTTATTTCTTACAATTCAAGTGTAAAATTATCTAAACATAATATATACATACATTAACTGCAGGGTATAATATTTCAGTGTACAAAAATGCATATTGCATTATACATTAATTACAGATTATTGTTTATGTATCGCGAACAACGAGAGCGATCAATCGGCCAGCGAAGCGAACGGCTTTCGGGATAGATAAATGTCCATTGTCTGATTATCGATCCAGTCATTGTTTTTCCTCGCCGCAGTATATTATGCCGGTACACGTACTGAAAGAAAGCCACTGCATTACACATAGTAAAATAATATTATTATTATAATTATTACGTACATGGCTGCGCACGGACGGATGACGTATCTATACCTCGTACAGTCTCCGCGAATCACGACTGTCTCGGAGTTTGGTGACCTCGAGTGCTCAGCGGCAACGGGCTCATGGCGCGCGTGTTGGAGACGCTATATGGGGTCCTTGTATTATTTTATTATTGTTGTGATAACACTATTCTAATCTTATACTATAACCTGGTGACTCTGTCGTAGTCGTCGGTCGTCGTCGTCGTCGTCGTCGTCGCCGCCACAGGTAAACTCGTTGAAATATCGTATGTTGTTCGAATAGTTATACAATAGGCACTTGCAGCTGCTAGTGTTTAACTCCAAGCAAGGGCGCAGCTAGTAATTTTATCAGTGTGAAGGGGAGGGGGGGGGAGCAACCAAGTGTGTTTTTAAATTTTTATCACAATTTAAAATGTTGTTAAACGTTAATATAATATGTGTTAGCTATAATAGATGGGAGAGAAATTCCGCCCCTCGACTATAAGTATCTATCTATAAATACTTGTTAAGTGATATTATAAAACATTTAAAAATACTAAGTACTAAAGTAGGCTAAAGTATTACAGGTACACACCACGATAGAACAATATGCTAAATAGGCATTTGTTTATTGATTTTGTTTTTACTCAATTATACAAATTGAGTTTTTCACACGCATCGAGTGCACATACAATCATATCGTCATTAGGTAGGTCATCGTAATGGGTGTGTTAAATTTGAATTCAATGATAAATAATTTTGTACAAACAACAAATAATGAAGAGTGAAGGTGACGGGTGGCCTTGCTGCCATATACTTCTAATGATAGCTATTAATATTATGTTGTATTATATTTTTATTATTTATTATTAATTCTATTTTATTAATTTGGTAGCATTTGTCAAATATATCGGAGGTATATTACTTTTAAGTATTAATAACGATGGACGATAGTATCGATGTAAGTAGGTACCAGTTTTATATTCTGGTATAGGCTCTTGGTGACACATTTTATTACCTAACAAAATGCAACTTATATAATTTAACAAAAGCTCATTTGGAAGTAACTTACATTTTTTAAATATTATTTACTTAAAAGTTTTATAAAAATATTTTACAGACCCAATCGGTATGATTTTTCTCTGAGAATAGTCTACAGTAAATTCTCCGTGTGGGGGTTGATGCCTCGATTATTATCAATCAGAGCGAGTAACGATGATTATTTTCGTCACGCGGCTATACATGCTGCAGCATATATAAAGGTAGGTACTATATAAAGGTACAACAAAATATGCAGCCAGTTCTGAAAAAAAAAAAAAACAAGACGTGCAAGATCCCACGTGAAAATATTTTATGGGTTTTCGCTTATTACATCACTTTCTCGTTATTCGTTAAAAAAAACAATTGTCAGACAAACATCTACAGTGGCTATACCTGTTATACAGACATAATATACCTACTGCGCATTGCTATATTTACCAGAGATGTGGGTATGTTGCACTTTAGTATCAGCTGACTGTTTGAGTTACAATTACACGAATAGCTTGAGTCTGAATAGCTACGACGATATTACTATATTATATTAGTTACAATAGCTGCTAGATTACTAAGTAGGTACTCGTTAATAGTGGAAAATAATATTAACTTATTTGATTAGGTATTGTTCAATAGTTTTGTTTAAAATAATAATTCTTTTATTAAAACCAAACATTTGGAAAATTAATAAATACGATATTACTAATATGATAGTGGTGTGTCGGTGTCGTACAGAGATTCACACACTATCAATAAAGTCAGTTAATACAATACAGTAATCGAATTCATAAATAAATTTGAACTCCGTCAGCTAATTTAATAAAATCATAAACAAATATAAATAATATAATAATTGCGTGTTGGCTAATAAACTCATTGTTGATGCCTATGGCATGAAATCATTTTGATCTAATAAATATAAACAGACCTAACTAAACAAGTATACACTTATGTAGTATAGGTATAATCCGTTAAATAACTGTTAGGGTTAGGGTAGGGGTAACTTCCAAAAAAGTGTCACAGAATGAATTGTTTGCATATTTTAAAAGTTTACAGTACTTATACCCACACATTATTTAACTTGTGTACGGAATATTATAAAGTTATATTAATAATATGAATAGTTGTACGACTAGAGAACGAATTTTTTAGTTTTTTACATATAATTATCTTCATTGAGCAGGTTGACGCATGACGTACAAATGAAGCAGATTCCTTGTACATATATAAAGAATAGTTAGTATCTATAGTCATTTTTAATAATTTGTATATTGTATTGTTGTAGGAAAAAAATACATATTTATTTTAATTTTGAGGTATCTAAACAAATTTTGTTAAACCATTTACCAATAATTATTACGCCTAGTTGTGATGTTGCTTGAAATATTTTATTAAGTTTGCCATATAAATTGTACACCCAATCAATGTAATTCACGTATCCAATGATAATACCATTAATGAGTCACCGTGCAATTTGTCTATTGTATCTTTTTATTTAAAAAAACATATTTATGTCACGCCTGTACTGAAAGTTTAGTGTTCGATGACGGTTGAAGCGTTGGCAAACGACTTTTCCGTCCTGCGGGAGGTAAAGTGGAAATCCTTAAAAGTGCTGGGAGTATCCCCTCCACAACCAGACTCTGAAATCCATACCACGGTCCTTACAAAACATACACTTTTGGTTACATCTCATATTCATATTATAACTTCCTTGGATGTTGCTTCAACATTTTTTTCTTATGAAATGGTTTTCGTAGAATAGTCTGGTTGTTGCATAGATCACTGCATTACCTTGTGATCGATGAACGCAGAGGCGTGACAAAAAATAATATAATGTGGCTCGTATAGGAAGGCAATTTCAGTCGAAAACATACAGTCGCCCGTGACTGAAATAGCTCACTTCCCGCCCTTGCAACACAATACGCTATTTTATGTTCATTCATTATTTTATTTATTTTTAAAAGTGTATAAAAAGAATATTTGGAGGATTTTTCGGAACGTATTCGCATTATTATATTTCGTCATTTTTTTAATATTACAATTTGGGACCTTATAGACATTACGAATTATTGTAAAAATGTATACATCGTCTTACGCCGATTGGGTTAAAAAGTGAGATTTCCGTAACTAATAACAAATTTCATTAGTCATTAGGTACACATACACATCACGAGTGTGAACAAAGTGTAAGTATATAATAGATCATTAAAAAGATATTAAAAGATGTTTTAATTGTATTTGGCCAAGTACTATAACAATTGCTTTTTTTGGTGTCCATTTTAATTTGTACAACAAATGTTATTGAAGTTTTTTTCTGTCGTTCGAAAATTCACTATCGCGTTGTATGAGTTTCAAAAGAACAACAGCTGTTCTTTTTTTTATTCCAGCAGACAAAGAACACCAATTATAAAATTTGCTCTGATTGAAAATCTAATCGTTTTTATATATTTATTCTAAGAGTGTGCAATTAAGAGTTTAAATATTTAACACATAGAGCATAATATAATAATTGCGAGTAAGTAAAAAAATAGTATTTCATAAGAAAACATTTTATAAGACCAACCGAGACAATAATATTTGCCAGTATATAGTAAATCGATATGAATTCTAGTAGATTTATACTCGAGTAGAGTATATACTTAAATGTACGCGTACCTCTATTATCGTTGGTTGCGTCCATGCAGACTTCAGCCGTGGTGGAGTAGCTATACAATATAATGGAAAATCTCTGTTGCTCGGTCTGTAAATCCCTGCTCTCTGAGATCGTCAAAAAATCGTTGTAGGTGAGTATCTTATATCTCTGTAATAGCTCGAATTCAAATAATTTAATAGTATGTACACTGCAAAAATGGAAATGAAAAATTGCAAAAAACACTGATTGTTTTAAGCTTTATTCGTGTCTGGACACTTTATATTAACCATTTATATAATATGCAATCACATTCGATAATTTTTTTTATTTACAGTGAACCGTTGTACTGCGAAATTGGCTCCTTCGATGAGTTTGAATGGGAAAATTCAGCGCGTCTTATAATACCCTTTCACGGTGATTGAGACAATTTTCTTTATGCGGGTTCTTTGTTATGTTATTATAATACTATTATACATATAAATATATTATATATGTGTAAACGTTACATATACCTAGGTACCATGTAAAAACTATATGTATAAATCAATTTTGTTTTTGGTCGATCGACTAGATAATAGTATTATTGCAATAATTTTTGAAGCGGAACGGTCAATAATTAGGAGTTAACATTTGTATGTTTTCCCTAAATGGCTAGATCCTATTACGTTCAAATGGTAATAAATAATACA